CTCTCTCTCTCTCTCTCTTGCATGCACGCACGCAAATCGGAATGCATCCCTGGACGCATTCCGATGTTCCTGCACCGGTCGCGTATATCGAGACAATCCGCCGCGCGCAAATTTGACGCACGCAATGCGATACCCGATGCATATTGCGGTGATCGCAAATTAATCGCGTTGGAATTATGCTATTCTGTTAAATCTCCCCCCTTCTTCTCGCTCCTCTGTCCTCTAAACTCAACACGGCATCGCTACAGCAACGAGCCGTGCATTCGTCAGCGATGGGCTCGTCGATACGAGTGCAGCCCATCAACGATCCGATGCGCCGCGACAATTATGTTCGCGCGAGAATTACCCGGCTATTAGCGACGCGATTATACTGCAGCGCTAATTAATTGTGTGAGACGAAACAGGACGGAGCGCGGGGGAATTCGCCCTTTCACGCACTGTACAATATCATCAGCGGTATCAGCTGCGCTTATCGAACTTGTTTGATGACTCTGTACCGCCGTTGATTAAGTGATCTGCATGTTTCGTGTGGCTTTCATACGCAATTTAGATTAATTTAACAATTTTTAGCTATAATTTCGTCGATATTAACCCTAGTTGTACACACTGAGAGACCTCAGCGCAACTTTCTAAATCGAGATTTTTTTCGCGTTTCCAAATTTTTCTTTTTTTTTAAATCTATATATCTCGAAATTCCTTAATTCTATCGATTTTTACATATTGTAGACTTGTTCCTTAATCAATTCTCCATTGATTGAAAAAAAAATTAATTGAAATATATGCATTTTAACAGAAGTTACGGTAACAAATATGGATGGGGTCCCAGAGATCCCAGTATGTATATCTAGAGTGCAAAAAACAAGTATGTACAGTTAGGGTTAATATCATTCATTGCTCTTTTTATGAATTAAAGTAAACTTTGTTTATAAAAATAGATTTTTATTTTTATAAATCACGAGATCGCATATTGTTATATTTTTTATTCTACATTACTTTTCAATATAATACTTTTCAATATGTTTATAATAAATTCATAAAACTTGTAATGTAATACTATATAATTCCAATCTCAATGACTTTATCCCATAATCAGTAGAAAACAGTTAAACAACATTTCTTTTTTGAATTGATTAGAATCGCTCTATCCTTGAGTATCTCTAAGCAACCGCATGACGGAAGTTACGATAACGATAAACGAGCGTGTTTCGGAATCGTCAAAGGGTTTACGTTCATCGTAAATCATGCGAAACGCGAGCGCAAGTTCAACCAAGTGCGTCGTAATCTGAAACCATTTTCGTTAATTACCATTTTCCAGGTCCGGTTAACCATGCTGGCAATCATTGATCTGCATCATGCATAAACCCTTTTGATGCCATTCTGATGCTCGCGTGGAAATTAACAACACTGTAAACTTATGCACCGATTTGCAAGACACATTTCCGTGCCATTCGATCCGATTATACGTGATGACGAATGTTCATCATGCGCTCGAATAATTTTAATAACAAACAAATATTGTTTCACTGCTGTTTGACTGAATGATTTATCAGACGACGGACAAATTTATGTGTTTTACATAGTTCATACCGATCGTCGTGTCGTTGCTTATACTTCGTGTGCAGCGATATTTTTTGCTTCTTATCGCGATGATACGGCACTACATAAATCCACGCTGCATTTTACGTGACCCGCGTGCTGAACTATTCAACATCTGACAACATCAATATCATAAATACCAAGTTTTTATTATATAAATAAATTCATCAATTTCGAAAACAAATCCGACAAGCGATAGAAACATTCGCTTT